CCCCAAAACCCCAAAACCCCAAAACCCCGTCTATAAAGAATGCTTGTAAAAATTTAGAATTAAGCAATTGATAAATGGAAATTATAATAATGCTAGAGATCTCTTTAATCTGAGATTTAATATATTTTAAGTGCTTCATTAGTACCATTTAAATCACATTCAACCTTATTCTTAAGTTTACATGGTTGAATGAAATTATTTCATATTCATTCTTTCTCAAACTCATAAATAACAGATTCTTGAATTATCATTTCATTTCTATATGCTAATTTGCTCACACCAACTAAACTTAGTTTGCTTCCTTTCCTGAGGATAAGCATCTGCTTTTTTAATGAAGCAGGTGGCTGAATCATCACTTTGAATGGCTGGTAATCATAAATCTTGAAATTTCTAACTACTGCCATATTTGTTGTTTCTATTAACTAGTATGAGAATTAATCTCTCATTAAAACAAAGGGGAAGGTTATTGGGTTGTATCCTATAACTTTTTTAAGAGAGACATATTCTTGATTATAGTATAAGTTAGTTTAAGGGTTGAATGCGTCACTCTTCTGAGTTGTTCGATTTATTTTAAATATGGAACTTTTATTTGCTAAAGTTGCCAAAAATATGTTTGGCTCTAACTAGATAAGATTTCTCACTTCTAATCTTTTCAAATACTCTTCTTCTTTGTTCTAACTAAATATATCTTAGTCTCCGAGCTCTGTATTAATCTTGCAAAACAAGACGCCTCTCTTCGTAGCTAATGCATATTCGTTTGGGCAAGATGTTTTGGCTATGTCAAAAATAGAAGGTAAAAAGGAGGCCCTTCTTCTATGTCTTTAAGCCGAGTAATCTAAATTATATGAATTTGTGATCTTATTTTCTGCAACCGATACGATTTGAATAATTCCATTAGTTTCTCCGAAAATCAAGTGATGATCGTCTATTTTTTTAATCACCTAAACTTCATCTTTTGGGCTAAAGCTCTTAATCTAGTAGTTCCTCTTAGGATCAAGCACTTTAAAATTAAATCCAACCTGGCAGAATAACTTCCTTCCTGATTGCACTCCATTGTAAGTTGGCATATTAATCAAGTAATGTTTAATTACTTTCAGTTTCTTAGTAAGTAAATAGATGGTTTTTCCATCAGAGGCCATGATTTTCCCATCTTTCTTCAAACTAATGATTGTGAAAAAATCTTGCTATTTTCCAATGAACTCATGGACAGTTCTTGCCTGATAATCTGTGATAGCTTTTTATATCTTCTACCTCCTTTCTTATTCTTAAAACTGATGAATTTGCTATTGGCTACTAAAGTTAATGGATTCCATAACCTTGTAATTGGATTCTAGCTGGATCGTTAATTGGATATTAGATTGTAATTAAAATTTGCTATAAGCTAGAGTACTAAATATTAATTAACTCTTAGTTAAGAGCCTTAATCCTTTTAAATAAATCAGCTAATTAAATTTTTTTCATATGATTTAATTTATTAATCTATTCAAAATCATTAGAATTACTCTAGATATATCATAGCGGGGTTTTGGGGTTTTGGGGTTTTGGGG